CAGATACATAGAGGATAGTATGCACAGGAACAAGAGAACACACAACACACACACATAGTTTTTTGGGGCAGAGCGCGACCCCAAAAAACAATTGCCCATCCCATCTCTTAATTTTTGTTGGGGGGGCGAACTTCAATTCAGACCCCCCCTCTCCGCCCCCCACTCCCACCAACTTTTGTTTTTTGGAAAGGGAGGGGGGGGGGGGAGGGGGGAGGGATTTTCACCCTTGCGTCACACCAGGTGCGCACGCCAAGTGCGCAATGCACAGTGCGCCACAGGTGCACGACTGGCACGCACATGATGCGCTTCAAGTATGCTCTTAAAAGTTAATACCTTTTTACCATTTCTGATTTGTTCACTTTTGCCTGAGTTTCGCCTTGCTTTATCCTGTTACAGGTAACGAAAAGGAAAAAGACTGACGAGGTTAATAACCCAGCTTCCGAGAATGCGCCGCTGAAAAGAAACCCTGGAATATATTGTTATGGTGTCACTTGTACGTACGGTAAACCTTAAATGGTCTAACCTACCCAGCTATGGTGTAGACAGTGAGCTGCCTAGTTTGCACAAGCAGACCTGGTATGTATGGACCTCTTCCACACAAAGGCATAGCAGACAATGGAAGGATGAACTCTTCTTTTTTCTCTCGGAAGTTTTCAAAGTTTGCGTTTTTGGAAAAGCTACTGTGAACTTGTAGAACAACGAGTATGTAACATTTTCGAAAGACGGTTTTGGCTGTTTAAGCTGCTGTTTACAAATTTCCAAGCCTCAATTTTAATAATTTTTTTAAATTTTTATGCTTCATGAGCCTTATTCCTTCTTTTACTTCCTTTTTTTAAAAAAGGGCGACGGTCTTGAGATCTTTGAAGTTCAAACTGACTGGCCCCGGCCCCGAGGTAAATTCAGAGTTACTTTACTCATCTGAGTCGGTCGAGGTTCGAACTGAGGTCCGTGTTTCAACAATTTGTGGGTTTACGAACTGAGCTAGACCGTTGGTGCCTTATTCCTTCCTTTTTTTTTTTTTTTTTTTTTTT